ATCTTACTCCCATCTGCCGCCAAGACCACCTCCTTGTTTCTGCAAAACATATTTCGCCTACATGGTTTGCCTCAAATCACCATCGCTGACCGAGGTTCTCAATTTACCTCCCGTTTCTGGTGCCATCCCTGTCACCACCCAAGGATTCAACGCTGTTTATCTTCAGCTTATCATCCCCAGACCAATGGCCAAACGGAACGTACCAACCAGACTTTAGAACAATACCATCACTGTTTCACCACGCATCTTCAGGATGATTGGCTATCTCTGCTCCCCACAGCAGAATTCTACTACAACAACCACATGCACCACTCCATCAAGATAACAGCTTTTTATGCTAACTATGGTTTCCATCCCTGTGCCTTTTCTGAACTGCCATGTCCTAACACAGTGTCTGATGTAACCTCTCGCCTAAACAAACTCAGAAAACAAAGACAAATGTTGCAACGTACGAAAGTAGCACAACAGCGCTACAAAGGATATGCCGACAAGAGAAGATCCCCAGCACCAACCTATGTGCCAGGGAGCCTGCCAGGAATGTCCACGCACTGGCCAAGGTTAGAGCTTTTCACTGAAGGAACCCTGGTCGGCTAACCCTATTTCGCACCCTGAGGTCGCATGTAGGGAGGGGGCTTCTTCTCTTGGATACCTTTCAGGACCCTGTACCCCCTTCCACGTGCTTCTGAGGGTCGTGATTGTAATTGTATTGAGTGCTGTAGCAGTGTTTGTATTTTTTAAAAATATATTTAGCACTGAGCAGTGTTTGTGTGTTTGAATGTAAACACGTTTTTGTATGGAGTATGTGTGAGTGAATGTACTGGTGTGTTTGCACATATAGTATATTTCTGTAGTGTGTTTTTTTATATGGTGGTGTGTTTTTATATAGTATTGACATTTCGATGCAGGGTTGTATTTGTGTGTAGTGTAGGTGAAATGCTGAGATGTATGCACATATACACACATATCCTCACATATACACACACTGGCACACATACACAGACACATAGGTACACACATGGAGTTACATAGAAAAACAGAGAGAGGTACACAGGCACAGACACACTGATACAAACACAGACACACAAACAGATACAAAGACACACACTGACACATACAGATACACATATACCAACACATATACAGATACACAGACATACAGATACACAGACACACATGTATAAGTGTGTGTCTGTGTGTGTTTGTAAAGTGTATGTAGTGTGTTTGTATAGTAAAAGCAGTGTGTTTGTGTATTGGATGCAATGTGTGTGCTTGTATAATGGTGTGAGGGGGTGATGGTCAGAGGGAGGGTGTAATACGGTGAGGGAGGGGGTGATGGTTTGAGGGAGGGGGTAAGGTGATAGGGGGGTCATGGTGTGAGGGAGTAATACTGTGATGGAGGGGGTGATGTTGTGAGGGAGGGTGTGATGGTGTGAGGGAGAAGGGTTATGGTGAGAGAAGGGGGTGATGATGAGGGGGGTGATGATGAGATGGAAGGGGGACCGGGTGACACCCCTAAACTTCCAAAATATGTCTTTGTGATTGATCGATCTGAGTGTCAATCAAATCACTGAACTGTGGTGATATATAGCAGTATAGTAGATAAGAGATAATTTCCTCCTTTGTTAAAGTATTACAAAAACAATGGTTCTCAATTGCAATTTATTTGAATTAGAAAGCCAAGAAAAGGGGATCCATTATTATATTACCATTTGGTTAAGGATACTTATTAGACCCAATTCAATAAAAGAAATAATGGCCAATTATAACCCCTCTTATTAATATATGTTTAAGTTTAAAAGGGGTGAATAGATAGTTATTCAAAAATGGTTGCAATCAAATCAAGTGAGAGACCCAAAAGTATAAGGTCTAGCTAAATCACTTGGCTTATCTAACTAATTGACCAACAACTATCCCTCTAAATTAGAATACAAAAATACTTGAAAATATATAGACAGTGGGTGAAAATGTATTTGTATTATTGTAAAACAAGCAATAATTTATTACAACAGGAACCAAAGTTGAATTTAGTATCACAATTATGATAAAAGGTGCAAAAGGAAAGCCATCATTGAGAATCTTCGGATGGAGGGTCTTCAATTTATAAAGCCAAAAACATTCACGTTGTTTAAGGAATCTGTCATACTCGTCCCTTCTCTAGTCAAGTTTATCCAGTTTCAACCCTTCAGGTGTCTGGAGATTGGGGTCTGAATGCTACCTCTAGGTGACCGCACATGTTCTTTAATCCTTTCTTTGAAAGGTTGGAAGGTTTTTCCCACATATTTCAAGTCACACTCACAGGTTAGTAAAGTCCTGCAGTGTTGCAGTTAAAAAATTTATTAATTTTGAATGACTATTTACCTTCACTGTCTGTTACTTTTTTAGAATCTCGCTTTATAAATTTCCTCCCGCACCCAAAGGATGCAACTAAGGGGTTGGTTAGCTAGGTACGATTAATGCTGTCTCAAAGTATTTGCTTTTCTTTTAAAGTCTTCAATAATATTGACCAGTTGGTATACCCTGCTTTATTGTTCTTGGTTGAAAGCTATCACAAGGCTGTTGGAGGCCGAAGGTTTTCTGTAGAGGGTAGTTTGAATACGTTGTTGATCTGTTATCGAGAATGAAATGTCAAGAAAGTTCAATGTAGAACCTCCAAATTCCAAAGTCAATTTTATATTGAGATAATTAACGTTAAGAACTGTCTCGTAGTTATTAAAGTCCTCGAGAGTACTTTTCCACAAAACTAAAATGTTGTCTATATTCCTACCCCACCAGAATAACATGGGGATGTAGTTTGAAAATTGTTCTGATTTGATGACTAACTTCTCCCACCATCCCAGGTGCACAAGCTGTCCCCATCGCACTGCCTCTCACCTGATGGTAACATTTGTTGTTAAAGAGGAAGTAGTTGTCCGTCAGGATAAACTCAAAAAGCATCAAGAAGAATTCTGAATGTGCTTGGAAGTCAGCTCCTCTTTTGTAAAGAAAAAATTGGACATGTCCAATCCCACCCTCGTGTGGTATGGAGGAATATAGGGACTCGACATCCAAGCTGCAAAGGATGGCAGATTCTGGCACCTCTAATCCGGAGAAGAGGGTCAGGGCCTGTTTGGTATCTTGGATGTATAAAGGTAGAGTTTCCACTAGTGGACGTAAGATTTTATCGTTGTAAGTCCTTACATCGTTCTTGCCATTCTGAGTTAGATTATCCACCCTGGATACTATACGGCGTCCGGTGGGGGGGTTCAATTGATCTTTATGGTATGTGAGTAAGCAGTAAGATAATTAAAATATTTTCTTACCAAATTCTATCAGCCAAATATTAATAACTATATGTAATTGCAAGTACAAAATATTACAGTAAAAAACTATAGGCAAAAATGGTAGCTTGTCATAATACATAAATAGGTGAATTAAATCCGGTGGAACAAATTTCAGCTCCATACCTTAAAGTTGCAGTGAAAGGTAGAAACAAAGTGGCTTTGTTTCAGTTGGCTTGTCAAATTGTGCCTTAAAATTAGAGAGAGAAGTAGAATTTAACTTGTCACATAATATTCAAAGTCATGATCTAACAGAAATATATAAACATTGTTTACAATGAAATATCACGCAAGCAGCATTGTGCTTACAAAGACAAATGTAGACACTCCAATGTGAGATATAAAAGTCAGCAGACATTACATTTTGTTAAACAAACATGTAAACAGAGATACATAAAACCACAAATAAAAATATTTAACACGAGTCAAAACAAACCTTAACTGCTATGATCATGTCATGAAATACAACCACTTGGAGTATGCTGCAAATAAAATGTAGCATGGTGTAATTAACACCATTAAATAGCCAGCCCCTGATAAAGAGGGCCATATTTGCAGTTTATATTTAGCTTGATTAAACTGTGCAAACATTTACACATATCTGGTATCCTGTTGTAAAGTGTCCCACAAAAGTTGGAGACAGAGGAACTCACACAGAAAGACACACAACATATGATCATAGCACTCAAACTACAACACTTAAACATAAAGCATGTAAAGGGTTTGAATTATTCTGTTCAACTATTCTATCAGTGACTAAGTAAAAAGGGATGCATGGTCTCTTTCATAACACTATAACTTCATATATGTTGACATTAAAATGAAGAAATACAACTAAAACAAATGTTGTGTATAAAGAAGAACAGTGAGTGGAATATTTAGACACCAAAATAAAATGTGTAAATATAAACTAAAGTAAATTACGAAAATTACAACCACAGAAAAATAAATAAATGAAAGGAAATATACTCTTCCTGTAAAGTTGAATTCCCCCGGAGCCCTTTCAATCCTCAAATATGGGATATACTGCAAAAAAGAAATACAACATATAAATATCTCATAGAGTAATAAGTACAAAAATAGACACCAGTTCCATATAGAATTGCACTCATAATATATATATATATATATATATATATATATATATATATATATATATATATATAGAGTAATATTTAAGGGCATAACACTGTCTCTCTGGAAACAATAGGAGGCAGCACATTTCTTGTGTATATAGTGAGGGCAGCACTTTTCATGCAGTATTTCAATATGTATCCTCTCAGATCAGATTCATATATGTAAAAAAAAACAGATATCTCATAGTGTACAATAAATAATTAAATAGGCACTATTAGCTAATAAAATTGCACTCACAAAAGAAAACAGAAATCTTTACTTACTGTATATTCTTTTTTTCTTAATATGGTGGCAGTACATGTGGGTTTTGCTCCTTTCCTGTGGACAAGCATCTAACACGATTAATTAAGTTAACAAACCCCTCCCCCTTGCCCTATATAAGGGCTATCCAGCAAAACCTACCCCAGTAAGTAGCAAGAAGAAACACAAAACTTAACCTAAAAATTATTTTATGTATATATATAGGGAGGGAAGTTGTACTGCCACCATATTAAGAAAAAAAGAATTTACAGTAAGTAAAAATTTCTGTTTTTTCTGTCATAGGGTGGCAGTACGTGTGGGATATAGCAAGATACCCAAACCGGGTGGGTCCAATGCTAGCACAGCAAACTTTATGCCCAAAGGCCGTTTACGAGGATGAGAATATCTCAAGCCTGTAGAGAATAACGAAGATGTGGAAAGGCAGCCCAAGATGCTGCCTTACAGACATCTACTGGAGAAACAAGAGCTCTACCCTCCAGGGGCAGCCATTACCCTGAGTGAAAAGAGCAGTGAGAGATATCGACACTTAAGGACCACCAGAAAAATATGCCAATCTACTTGCTCGTCTGAGTCAATTTAAACCAAAGTTTTTTGCAGGAAGCTCTGTACCCCTGGAATCTACACTGGAGGTTAACAAACAACAGGCCAGAATACCTGAGCTCCTCAGTCCTAGGAAGAAAAACCTTGCAATGCTCCAAGAAAAAAAACTCTTTAAGCTTCTGAAGAGAGGTGGGACAACCACCCAAGGGAAAGCAGACACAATCGGTTGACTTGTAGGAAAAAGAGGAAGTTTCGTAAGGTGAAGAACCACCCTGTCCATAGCAATACTGCAAAAATCATCTGGGGAAGAAAATGCCTGAAGCTCACTGAATCTTTTAGCCAGTCTGACGGCCACCAAGAAGGTGACCTAGAGGAACGAAACCTTTAAGGGACACCTCTACCCAAATATCGAAAGAGGGACACGAAGAGCTGGAAAAATCAGTGATAAACCCTAGGCAGGAAAAAAAACAGATCTCTAGGAGGATGTCTGGACCTGACAGATTACAACAAACCTATAGATTAACAAACGGATGCAAAATCTTTCTCAGTGAGTCTTAGGACTGAGGCTTGAACTTCAAAGCAGAAAGACCCAAGTCTGCAGAAAAAAACTTCCAGAAAAATTTGAACACAATTGGATGAACACGTGGGCAATGGTGTTCCCACCATCAAAAAAGAAACTTGACCTTTATATGAAAGTAGACTGAAAAAGCAGGAAGTCTAGTTTAACACAGCAGTAGCCAGGCCGTAAACCTGAACTTCTACAGAACCCTAGGTTAGATTCCTGTTTATTATGAGATTGTACGAGATTGGAAGTTCCCACTGTGTGGAGGCCATTTTCTTGAACGTCGGGAACAAGAACCTTGTTTGGCCTAGAGTAGAATAAGAACCAGGATAAAGTTCCGACTGCCCTAATTTCCGAAGAAGTAATTCCAATTACCCCTGCCGAGCTTGACAGCTATGTAATTGTCGATCCCTCTGAAAAGAAAACTGACGAAATATCTACTAGATATTTTTGCACCACAGCAAGATAACCACCTGCAGGCGATAACGAGCACCTACTCTGATTCCTCCTTGCCGTTGACGTATAAACCCATTGTACACGAGTCCATTTGAATCTATATGGCCTTCCGCTGCATCCACTGACTGGAGGGGTGAAGGCGGAAAGCATGGCTGAAACCCCCGAAACTGCAGATTTTCCCTTAACCTAAACTTCGAAGTATGATGGAAACTAGATAAGCTCACCAAACAGTTTCGACAGCATCTGTAGTGAACTTCAGATGCAAGAAACAGGCCTCCTGAAAGGAACTCTGAGGACTTACACCAAGAAAGTAGAGCTTTTACACGATGGGAAAAATTGAAAAAAACACACATCTTGAGCCTCTAGCTTTCCCGACTAGGCTGATAGAATCTCCCATTTAGAGTCCACTAAAGGACTAAGCTCTGATGGAACAATATCTTTCAAATCCGGATCTGCTTCTACCAACTCCCTTACTCTATGGTTGGAAAAAGAAAACCAACAACCTGTTGGACTGAAACACAAGACTAAGGAACTCCTTGAAAGGGAATAAGGATCCCTGGATGTCTGGTAGAATTGATGGCGTCAGACATGTCTACCTCTGTTCTGATCCCAAATTTATCTCAATTTTAGGTGCGGTATCAGCTGTCTATGATTACTACCATAAAGTTACCAAACATAAAGAGAAAACAAATTAATCATTCTTTGACAATCGCCAATTCAGACACTAATGGAGCATAGGTTAATCCTGATCTCCAGGAATCATGTTCAGTATTGCGTTGAGCAACCTGGAGAAAAAAATAATCTGGTTACCGCAGCTCCCGCAAGTAAAGCTGTCTGATAGGATTCCTAGAAATAACCCAACATGTGGATACATATATAGAGGTGGCGACCTCACAGTAACTAATGTATAGAGCAAATAGAGGATATATATACTGAGGTAGTAACCTCCTAGAACACATCCCTAGAGCATCTAGAGAAAACCTATATTGAGGCTCTGTCTCCACAGAAACTCATACATAGAGCATATAGAGGATAGAATTACCGAGGTTGTGTCCTTATAGTAACTATTACATAGAGCATTATAAAAATCACATATACTGAAACCGAACCCTCATAGAAACACATATATGGAGCATATATCATATAGCATACAGTGGCTACATAGTAAGAGGCAGTGTCCTTCTAATAACTCCTACATAGAGACTATAGTGGGTACATATACTGAGGCTGAGTCCACATAGTAACTTATACATAGCGCCTATGGTGGGAACATATACTGAAGCTGAGATCTCACATAAACTCATCCTAGAGTATATAGTGGATACATCTACAGAGGTTGTGTCCTCTTAAAAACTCATACATAGAGCATGTAATGGGTATGCACAGACTGAGACTGAGTCTATATAGTAACTATACCTAGCGCATAAAAGTGGATGCATATACTGAAGCTGATTCCCTACATCAACGTAGCGACGTAGAGCACATAGTAGATACATATAGAGAGGCAGAGACCTCATAACTCATCCATAGATCCTCTAGTGGATAAATATACTGATGGCTGAGTTCTCACATTAACTCATCTATAGAGCCTATACTAAGGTTGAGTCCTCATAGTAACTTATACAAAGCTCACATCAACTTGTCATGGAAAATATAGAGGATACATATACAGAGGCTGTCCTCATAATAACTCCTACATAGAGCATCTAGTGTATACTCATACTGAGGCTGAGCCCACCTAGTAACTCATACATAGAGCATATAGTGGATATATATATAGAAGCTGAGACCTCACAGCAATTTGTCATAGAGCATATAGCGGATACATATACTTCTCCCAGCAACTCGTCATAGGGCATATAGTGGGTACATATACAAACACACACGCCGCGTATATATATATATATATACACACACATATACTGCTGTGTGTGTGAGGGTGCTGTGTGTAGGTGCTGTTTGTGTGTGAAGGCGCTGTGTGTGTGTGTGTGTGTGTGTGAGGGTGATGTGTGTGTAAGGGCGCTGTGTGTGTAAGGGCGCAGTGTGTGTGTGTGTAAGGGTGCTGTATGTTTGTGTAAGTGTGATGTATGTGTGTAAGGGTGCTGTATGTGTGTGGATGATGTTAGTGTGTGTGTGTGTATATATGTAAGGGTGCTGTGTGTGTAAGGGTGCTGTTAGTGTGAGGGTGCTGTTAGTGTGTGGGTGGTGTGAGGGTGCTGTGTGTGTAAGGGTGCTGTTAGTGTGTGCTGTGTGTGTGTATGTGTAAGAGTGCTGTGTGTAAGGGTGCTGTGTGTGAGGGTGCTGTTAGTGTGAGTGTGCTGTTACTGTGGGGGTGCTGTTAGTGTGTGTGTGAGGGCGCTGCGTGTGTAACGGTGCTTTTAGTGTGTGTAAGGGTGCTGTGTGTGTGAGGGTGCTGTTAGTGTGTGTGTAAGGGTGCTGTGTGTGTATTGTATGTGTGTAGGTGCTGTGTGTGTGTGCTGTATGTTTGGGTGATTTTGTGTATTGTGCGGGGGCCGTTTAGTAAATATCCCCCCTCCCTTCTCACCTTATGCCTGGGAGGGGGGATCTTGATGCTCAGATCTCGCGAGAGGTACTCGGAGTACTCGTACTCTGCCTGTGGGGAGGGAGGCTGAGAGCAGAGCCGGCGCTCGGATAGCGCCGGCTCTGCGTGAGCCGACGGGGGATCCTGAGATCTCCCCTGCCGGTCTCAATACATAGGCGTGCCGCTGGGATTAGGGTGTGCCCAGGCACACCTGGCACACCCCATGAGCACGCCTATGCATGGCCATAAGTGCGGGAGACTTTTTTGGTTGAAATAATTAAGCTTATCTGCTTTTATCTGTTTTAAATGTTTCTGCAGCTGTTAATTTAGTTTGTTCAGGAGCCCATATGCCAGAGCAATTTTTCAGGTAGCCAATTTTTCAACCACACCCCCCCAAACATTTATAATTTTATGATAGGCTTGGAACTGTTTGATAGAAAAATATGTTTTTAGATATTCAGTACCAAATCCTTTAGGTGCACTATGAGATTCTCTTTAACTACATTAATAACACTTAGCTATAAGGTGTTTATAAAATATGTTTTAAGGTTTAAAAGAGAAAGTATGATAGGGAGATGGAAGTAGACATTTAGTCAACATCCCCCTTTATGCATCGTATTTAGCTATATTTGCATTTTTTTTTACCTATCTTTTCTATAGATATTTATAAAAAGGATACCCACAAGTAAATGGAAGTTGCTATTATTTGGGCTATGTTTTTATGAATGTGGATGTATAATATAATTAACCGTATTTGAGAATGATTGTATCTATTTCTGAACTGGATATGTGCAAAAGTGGGCTTAATATATTAAATATAAACTGGGCTGTATATAAAAAAAATGTGTGACAACACACGCTTTGAGGAAGCCTGATTGACCAGATGAAACGTCTGGCAGCAGTTTTGTCACAAGTGATGTCATTATGCTTTAACATGATCCAGAAGTCCAACCGTATCTAGGGCCAGACTAGGAATGGAAAGCAGCCTTGGAAAAAATTCTATACGAGCCCAACAATGTGTTAAACCAGTGTAGTGTGCAGATATAGAGACAGAAAAGATCACTTAAAATTAAAAACTAAAAACTATTACTCCAACGTGAAAGAAAGCACCCATAGGGCTTCAAAATAAATAAAAGAGCAGATTTATTTTAACCCCTTAAGGACACGACGTGTGACATGTCATGATTCCCTTTTATTCCAGAAGTTTGGTCGTTAAGGGGTTAAGCATACTTGCATTTGCATATAATCAATGTTTCAGTCCAAATACCTTGACATATTAAAGGGACACTATAGTCACCAGAACAACTACAGCTTATTGAATTTGTTCTGGTGAGTAGAATCATTACCTTCAGGCTTTTTGCTATAAACACTATCTTTTCAGAGAAAA